TGAGATGGTGGATATGCTTCTATTTCTCTAATTTTTGTTTTCTGATGTAACTGGAGAAGGTGTTTCTGAGATGGTGAAGTTGGTGTGGTAAACGGAATGAGATTCAGATTTAATAGAAAGGGTGAGGTTCAAAAAAATACATGTGTATGTTTTTTTTTATTTATATATAAAATTTTATACAAATTTAATTTGATCTATAAAAACTAAATTTATATAGACTCTATTTGAGAATTATTTATTTTTCTTATATTTTTCACCGTGTATTTAATTTTTTTGTTATCAGATTTCTTTTATATAATTGATATTTTAATTTAATATTATGATATTTTAAGGAAAAAAAATTCTAAATATATAAATAATGTAACACCCCAAAGAATACCTATTATGAAAATTATATGATACTCTATTTTTGAAATACCTGAAGTTAAATTAGTTATCATATAATATCAAATAGTTAAATTGATACTTGAAAAATTATATTACTTTTATAATTGTATGTACTAAAATGTAAGGTTGTTTGGGAAGTGTTAAATTAGTATAATTTTTGATTTTTTATGAAAAAATGTGAAATGTGGGTTGGATTTGAAGTGATGTTGTAGAGAGATAATGTGACTCAAATAAAAAATGATGTGACTCAAATAAAATGATTGTAACTTAAATAAGATGATATGCTAAAATAACATAGCACATGCCAAATAACTACTTAATTTAATTAGGAGTCATTGTGTTTTAGCAAATAATGTAATTATAATAATTTTTTGACCATAGTTGAATTTGGGGAAAACATATTTCCTTCGTTTCTAGAATACCTCGTGGATGTCATGGTAAGCCATGTCACCACATGGCTGCACAGTGGCATAGTGCAACGTAGTGTGGTAAGCCATGTGAAGCCATATGGCTGCACAATGTTGCATAATGCAGCATAGTGTTACATAATAACCATTTCTTACGTATAAATAAGTAAGTTGTATGGTAGTGAAATCACAACAATAATAAATGAAAGGTATATGAGAGAGTAAGTCAAAGTAAGTAAGAGTAAATAAAAAGTTTAAGGTGCGTTGTCTTATGTTTTGGGTTATCATAAACTGTTTTATGTAAATTATGTTTTCGAAATCATATTACTTTTTAAAAGTATATAATTTGTTACATGAACTGTATTTGCTTACAAAGGGAAACCCATAAATAAAACTGTTTACTAAATGTATTTCTGAACAATTATTTTATAAGTAACACCACGAAAGTCTCATACTTTGAAGGATTTAAATAACTATGAACCCTCTGTATTGATAAATTATAAAATATAATTGGTCAAGGGTACAACCACGTAATGTTATGATAATTTTTTATAGAGAGGAAGTGTTTGATCCTTGAGCTAATTTTTTGTACATAATTTTTATTTAAAATTTATTATGAAAATAATGTGATAGTAATATTTTCACAATTATGAACTTTATTAATAGAAATTTTAATGATGTAATATTGACATTTTCACACTATGGTGATGTTTGTTTTGAAGGATAGAGCCAGAGAATTGGACTAATAGTCCATCCGGATTAATCGTCCGTTATTTGGTTTAAAATTTTTGTACTGGACTATTAGTCCCAAATTTGTTGGACTATTGTGTCCCATAGGGAGGGGGGGTGGGACACAAATGGGGGGATAAGGGGGGATATGAGATTAGATGGTGAAAGGATCATTCTGACCATTTACTATTTGATTATGTATTATATTTAGTAAAATTCAATAAAATTTAAATGTCTCAATTTAAAAATAAAATAATTTTATTTAATTTTTATAGATATTTTATTGATGTTTTATTTTAAAATTTTGTTTATATTTTATTTAATTTCATTATTTAAAATTTAATAGATGTTTTATTTTATTTCATTATTTAATTATTATTATTATTTAAAATAAATTTATTTAAAATTTTAATTAAAAATATAATATAAATTTTTTATACAGGTTATACAGTATTTTATTAAATCAAATTTAGTGGTTATTTATTTATTTAATTGTGTAAAAAAATAAATTTATTTAATTGTGTAAAAAATAAAATAAAACAATTTTTTTATTTAATCTAGTTAAAAAATTAAAATATTAAAGATATGTTTAATATTGCTATTTACTTAGTAATAATTGAAAAAGGTTAAATATAGTCATTTGAGCATTTATCCTTCTCCATAATATCTCAAAAAAACATATGGATTTATATCCTATCTAATCAAATAGTCATTTTCTGATATTAATCCATTACTAAACAAATCTGGGATACAAATCAAGTTCACCAAATATATCCGAAGACAATATATATATTTTAAATCTTCTTATTCAATCCGTCCAAACAAACACACTCTATGTACATCTTGACTCGTACTGCTATAATTGACACTCATTATGTGAGGTTTTTATATATAAATTTTATTATGTTATGTCCGTTTTTGTATTCTTATCAATATATATATATATATATATTATGAATAGTTAAGGAGGTCTATATCACCTTGTCAAGCATGAATTCGGCTAAAGTCACATGAGATAAAGACATGAGATAAAGACTTGCATGCGCGTAATTAACAAGTAAGAGCGTATTAAGTGATTGTTAATATATATGTTAATAAGGCCAAGTTTGGGAAGACTAAAAAAGTGACTTTTTCCGATCTTTTTGCTAGGTAGAAAATATGGATGTTTGGGTTAACTTTTTGACTTTTTATGGAAAAATGTGTATTAAAAAATTGTAAAAATTGGTTTGTAGGGGAAAATTAGGATTGGGAGTTGTGCAGCCGTAATTGTTGACTTTTGGTGAATAGTGTTAACTTTTTAACTTTTTGAGTAACTTTTTGACTTTTTGACTTTTTTGGAAGTACCCAAACTTGGCCTACAATTAAAATTTTAAATAGATATGAATCATTGATAGATGAATTAGGTTTGTATTATTGTCCGTTCTTAGCACTGTGTGACTCTACCGAGATTTCGGTTAATAAGAAAGTCATTAATAAACTAAGTGAATAAACATTGTTTTTTATTAATTTATGACACCGCTCAATTAAAAGTCATTACATTTAATATGTATTCCGTTGCTTCATATGATACTTTTTTGGCCTAATTATTGTACATATATCGATCTCACAGTGCATCGCTCAACATCCACCCACCAAATACATCTCTTCTTGAAGTGTTGTGAAATCTAGGTTTTAATTGCAATGGAAACTAAGAACTCTGTTAAGCACCCTCCTTCTAATTCACCAAAGCCATTATTACTTGATCAATATCCCAAGAAAAACTTCTGGGATTTCTCAGATATCTTCCAAAGCCAAGGTTTCTGGTACACAAACCCTCACCTAGAAGCTGCAAGAGACATCCTAGCACATTTCGAATCACGTGACGACGATATATTCTTAGCTTCCTCCATTAAAACAGGCACAACATGGCTCAAAGCCCTTTGTTTTTCAATCATCCATGGTCAGAAAAATGTAAATGTCAAAGTCAATGAGGAAGAAGAAGAAGAAGATGACCCTCTTGTAAAGAACACGCCTTCCTCTTGTGTGCAAACCATTGAAAACGGGGTTTACATGACAAACCCTACTCCAGATTTGTCAGGTAAATACCATCAATGTTAATATTGCAAATAAATTATATTATGGTTTATTTACAAAATATTATTTTGTCGAGTCATGTAAAATTAAAAATATCACATAATGACATTGATGAACAAAATTTCTGACACACCTTTGCAGGTATGCCATCTCCAAGGCTATTTCATACTCACTTTCCTTATAGTGCCTTACCGGATTCAATCAAAAACTCCGAGTGCAAGATTGTGTACATAACCCGAAACCCTAAAGACACCATGGTTTCGATGTGGCGTTTCTTTAACTCAGTTAGGACACCCGAACAAGGTCCATACCCTTTTGACAAAGCATTTGAGAGCTTCTGCGATGGGCTTTACCCATTCGGACCCTTCTTCGACCATGTGTTGGAGTATTGGGAAGTGAGCTTGAAGAAGTCTGACAAGATACTGTTTTTAAGATATGAAGAAATAAAGAGAGATCCGAAAGGACTAGTGAAAAGACTGGCTTCATTTCTCGGAAGGCCATTTGTGAATGAGGAAGAGGTTGAGAAGGTATTGTGGAGGTGTAGCTTGGACAGGCTTAAGAATTTGGAAGTGAACAAAAATGGTTCTACCGCGGTAGGGTTGCCAACGAACTCATTTTACAGGCATGGGGTTGTTGGAGATTGGAGGAACAATTTTAGCCATGAGATGGAAGAGAGACTTGACCAAATTTCCTCCATGAAGCTAGAGAAAACTGGGCTTGATCTTAACAAATGAATCAAGAGAGATCAAATAAATAATTAATAACTAAGCTTTGTTGCTACTTTGTTGTCAAGTGTTTGTTTGTGTGTTTTTTTTTTGTTTTTTCGTGTGACAAGTATGTTTGAGTAAGAAATGTCCCTCAAGATATTGGATGGATCCAATTCTACTATTGTTTGTTATTTTGCTTTTGAAATGTAGTGTTTGTTGTCTTGCAATATTTATGAATATTATTGTGAAGAATGACTGTATTTTACATTTAAATCTATTACTTAAAAGAGACAAGATATTTGTGCAAGTAACACAGTTAATTTGATGGGTTCTTTGATAGGTCCATCATACTATCAAGTCATTATGTATAATTTATATATATATATATATATATATATTTTCCATTTATATAACATAACTCATTCTTGATATCGAACAGTTGTCCAAATGGTTATGGACACTTAGGTGTCAAGATGAGTAAGGTTTGAAATATGTATGGTAGAGAGACATTGATTTGCATTTTAATTTAATTTGCATTAATTTAATCTAACTATTAACATATTAACTACTATCTTGTAAAAGGATTGGGCTTTTGCTTCAATCTATCATTTGAACTAGAGGGTGTTGGCCACTGCCATCGTTTCTGACGAGAGATAGGATTAATTGTTGTTTCACTGCCCTTTGGTTTTACCATCATCAATCCCTCTTTCAAAATTGATATGTTTTTATCTTATTTTAGGATAAATTACACTTATTTTTCTTGATATTTGAAGAAAAGTACAGTTAATTCCGCTCTTTTGATACAACTATATCAGACTCTCTCAAAGTTTTAAATTTACATAACACTTATATTTTTTCATCTCTTTTATAATAAAATGTATATTTAATTTTATTTATTTTAATATCTATTCGCCATATGTATTAGTTTTAATCACTTTAACCTTACTAAAAGAAAGATTAATCTAATTATGTCAATCTTCTAGAGTTAATTGTCTTTTTCGTAAACCTGTGGCAATGTCACATCACAGTATTATTTGGTGATTTTGTGACAAATCCATGTTGTGCCTAAGTTGATGGTCGTTGGTTGAAAGAGTGGATTTAATACTTTTTATTGATATTTTATGACACAATTTAAGACTTGTCAAGTGATAAATAGTGTGGAGTAAAATTGAAGAACTATGAAATACTCACTTATAAATGACTATATCTTTGGGTATGTTCATATCTTAATTAATCTATGCAAGTAAATTTTGATATATAATTTTAGTGATTATACATGTAAATAAATTTGGGAAAATTTCAAAAAAGTGGAGGGTAGAAAAAATAATTTCAAAATAATGAAAGTATAAGTTTTTATTGCATAAATTCATGCATGAACCATTTGTAATTTTATTATTTAGAAGTTGTTTTGTTTACACATCACCTTTTTGAAAATCTCCCAATAAATTTTATTTGGGTACTAAAAATTTTTTTGAGAATATTTACTATTTTACTGGGACTTTTTTAATAAGTATAGAGATCCTTTTTTTTTGAGTTCCATTAAAATAAATTTTTATAAAACTCAAAAAATCCTATGTTTGGATAAATTTTCAATATTTTGTATAAATTTAAGGGCTATCGGTCCAAAAATTTAAATTTGAATTTTCTTTGTGCAAAGGTTTAGACACAAAAATATTAAATTCATAAGGAGTAATTTATGTAAAATGACCAAACTACCCATTATCTAATCTATGTACAAATTACAATAGTCAGGTTGCCTTAGGCCATCTCCAATCCAAACTCGTAACTTTCATCAAATTTAAATTTGATAAAAATTTGGTGAAAACGATACTCTAACCGTTTTATCAAATTGATATCAAATGAAAGGAGTGGTATATTTTTCAGCAAAATTAAGAGAGCGTTTCGCTTTTAATCAAATTTTGCAGGCAGCCATTGGTGGACAATCGACCAAATGACCGGATTTTTGCAGGATAACCTGCCTGTGAATTGAAAATTTACTCTAGGACGGATGACTAGTTGGACGACTGGTCAAATTTGATAAAAATTTAGTTTACTGTTGGAGTGCATCATATTAGAACAAATTTTTTATTAAATTTTTACTTAAATTTAATGAAAGATTGGAAATGCTCTCATCTCTCTATGTCACTCTATCTAGGGTTTACGCCTCATCTTCTCTCTCTTATCTCTAACTCCATCTCCATCTTCATCTTCCACGATTATTGCTCTTCTTCCTTAACTCCATCATTAGAAAATCCTCAACACAATGTCGTTCACCTCATCCAAGAAGATGATTGAGATGCCACTCTTGTCGCCATCGACGATCTTAGATCTGAAATCTGTGTAGCAGGTCGGCAGCTCGATCGTGAATAGCGAGTCGATTAAGCACGAGTTTCTGTTGGCGAATCGGAATGCTAAGAAAACTTTGGATATGGTGAAGGTTAGTTCACAGAGTAACGGTACCACTCTGGCTGGGACTAAAAGTGGCACTGAATCTCCAGCGTTGAGTCCGACGAATAAGGGTCTTCCTCTGAGACGATCGAACGGTATTGAAAGGAAAAATGATTCGTTGCTCGAAATTGTTGGCTTGAAATTGGCCCGAATACCCAAAACGACGTCGTTTTGGAATTTTTTTTTCCTTTTCTTTCTTTCTCTGTGCGTTCAAATATAGAGGAAAGAGACGAGGGGGGAGAGAGAGAGAGAAGAGAGAAAAGAAAAGAGGAGAAGGAAGATCGGCGGCCCTCTGTTTTCTCTAATTTTTTTTCCCCTTTTCCAGTAGATCTGGATTGGAGGATGAAAGGGAATTTTTTTTTTTTTTTTTTTGATGAAGATGATGATGATGTTGTTGCAATTTGTTGATGAAGATGTTGATGATATTGATCCGGATCTGCAGACCCAGGGAATTTTCTTTTTTTGTTCATGAAGATGATGAAGATGATGATGATGTTGTTGCAATTTGTTGATGAAGATGTTGATGATGTTGATCTGGATCTGTAGACCCAGATCTTGTTGATGTTGATGAACAAAAAAAAAATTGTTTAGAAAAAAAATTGTTGATATAGATCAACAACATTTTTTTTTTTTATTGATGTTGATGAAACCCAACAGCGCAGCAGACCCTTCTTCTTCTTCTTCTTCTTCTTCTTCTCTTCTTCTTCTTTTTCTTCGTCTTCAAAAAAACAACGAAAAAAAAAAAACCAAAACGACGTCGTTTTGGTGTCGGGGCATTCGAGCCACGCCTTTTTCGAGCTACCAATCGGAGTTGGTATTGAAAGTGGAGCAATCTCGATGATCGGAAACATTAACTTCGCTTTTTATGTGTTCTTTTTTCTAGCAAGTTTTGTTCTTAGTTTTGAGAGGGATCTGCGTTCTCTCTCTCTCCTCATCCCCTCTTTCTGTTCTTCAGATCTGCTCGTCTATGACAAATCTCAAAGAAATTAAATGATATTAACATGGAAACTTAAAGAGATAGAGAAAATATCGCATTATATGTAGAATTAGAGGGATGTAGTTGATCGTAAATGTAGCCAAGAGTACATTTGTATGAAAGAGTAATTTATAGTCTTTCCAACGTTTGGTGATAATGGAAAGAAAACTAGTGAAACAGTATGCTTGTACTCTATAATTCTACATGATTTGTTAGTAAATCCAACCTATGAACACATTTTTTTAGGCCTCTCTTTCAATAATTAAAATTTTAAACTAAATCCTCTAACAACCAAGTTTCTTCATAAGAAAGCTTAACATTATGTATCAAAAGTTGATAACATAATGGATTTTTGGGCCAAAGTGAATTGGAAAAATGTGTGAAATTTTTTGAATTAAAATTCAATATTTTGTATGGAGCCATGTCTTTGGCATGAATTAGGAGCCATGTGATAAACTAAAGAGAATCAATATGAATATCTTTTGTATTCAATGAATGAAATGTTGCAGAGAGAAGATCTATTTATACAAACAATGGAACCTAACCATAACTACCTAACCTTGAATCTAACTACTTAACCAAATTATAGTTAACCTTTAATAGTTAACCTCTAACAAACTAACAACTTATTTACAACTGTGGATTACACGAGTGTGACATTAGCTGCAGCTGCAGGTGCTGGAGCTTGAGCTGTAACTACTAGAGCTTGAGTTTTAGCTGAAAACTCTGATAGTTGCTATGGCTGTGATAGCTCTATGGGCTGCTGCTGTGGCTGGGACTTATCATGCCCCCTCAAGCTCAGTGGACTGGAAAGGACATTGAGTTGTTGTTGAAGATATTAAAATCTAACCATAGATAAGGGTTTAATAAACACATCAGCAATCTGATCAGAAGTGGGATTATGACAAATATGAAGCTTCTTGAAGGTAACCCTTTCACGAACAAAGTGATAATCGACTTCAATGTGCTTAGTATGGGCATGAAAAACAGGATTGTTACTCATAGCAAATGCAGATAAGTTGTTACACCATAAAGTAGGCACAAGAACAGAGATATGAAGCTCAGCAAGTAACATGCCAAGCCAACTGAGTTCAGTTGAAGTTTGAGCCAAAGCCCAATATTTAGCCTCAGAAAATGATCTAGACACAGTTGGTTGTTTCTTGGCAGACCAAGAAATAAGGTTAGGACCAAGATATACACAATAACCAATGGTGGACCTTCTATCAAGCACATTACCTGCCCAATTTGAGTCGGAGTATGCATTGAGAATAAAAGGTCCAGGAGAGAAATGAAGGCTATGAGATAACATGCCTTTAAGATACCTCAGTAATCTTTTGACAGAGATAAAATTACTAGTCAAGGGTGTGTGCATGAACTGACAAAGATGATTAATTATAAAGGCTAAATCTGGCCTAGTGAGAGTAAGATATTGAAGTGCTCCTACCAAACTTCTGTACAAAGCTAGCTGAGAAAAGGACAGTCATCTGTTGTAGCAAGAGAAGTGGAAATAGACTTAGTAGCCATGAGAGAAGAACAAGATTTGCAGTCACTCATGCCAGCTTTGGCTAATAACTCTGAGGCATACTTTTGCTGAGAAAGGACATAACCATAAGCAGTTTTGGTGACAAAGATACCCAAGAAATAATTGACAAAGCCAAGCTCTTTCATGGAAAAGGTAGTATGCATGTGGTTAATGAGAGAGTTAATATAAAGAGGATCACTTCCTGTAAGAAGAATATCATCTACATATATGAGAAAAATGGTGACAACAGTAGAAGTTTTCTTGATAAAGAGAGACGAGTCACAGTGGCTTTGAACAAATTGATGAGTGAGAAGAAAATTAGGGAAA